TACACTACACATGGCAACACACACACACAATGTGAGGAACACTTGACAAAGATAACCTTATGATAAGTTATAAAAAAGCAGAGAAAGGAAGTAGCAACCATAGGTTGACTTTAATTTTCTGTTACAAAAATTCTTAGATTGACCGAACTTTTTGAGGTTCCTATTGCAGCATACAGAGAAGATAAAATTGTTGAATCATTTTTTGGGAAAAAAATAGAATTTTTTGAGTCAGCAGATTATGTCATTTGAGAAGTAATAAGTGATTCTATATTTATAAGGAAATTGTTTGCTGGGACGATCATACACAGACTTGTGGTTTTTATCATCCTGTACTGCCTTCAAACCCTGTTTACTTTTTGGGAAATGTTCATTGTTTAATCTTATCTGGAATTATTTCTTTAAATTTTTGAAAATTTGGATCAATGCAATCTTTTTTATCTGCTAGATTTTTATTAACTCTGATATCGGTGGTGCAATTATCAGGTAGAGGACATGAATTCCTTGGTCTCTGAGCTTGCAGACGTAGCTGCACAAGAGAAAGCTTTGCTAGATGAATGCCGACATCTCTTATCCTTCATCATAGCTAAGCAGGCAAGACTAGCTCTCTGTGTTGTCCTCATTCAGTTTCTATGTTCTGTTTTTAGAAAACCAGTAAAGTGCCATCTCTCTCTCTCACAACCCCCCACCCCCCCCCCTCCCCCACCACACCCCCCCCCCCTCCTCCCCCACTCCATGGTCGTGCTTGCGCACCCGCTTTTAATGATGAGAACCCCTAGCAGGCATACCTTCCTCTCTCACATATGACATTAGTGGTGACATTTTTTTTGGACCATCAACAGGTTGAAGAGTGGAGCCTAAGAACACATCTGATTCAACTAAGACGAGACACTAAGACTGACAAAACGTAGGATAGAATTCTCACCACCCTTTTCCGTTTGAAAAAGCTAACATCTCAGCATATAAAGCCTTCTTTTCCTTCTTTCCTTTTCATTTCCGGCGATAACGAAGTCCAATGGATGGAGAGCCGATTATTGGGCGCAAAAAATGGGTGCCTACGATGTTTGGAGCTGGCCTCTGGCATGGTGTGTATTTCCTCTTGCAAAGCTCGACTCGCAGAGGTCACATGTATCATGTATTTTTTGTAATTCACAGGTGATAGTGATGTCCTGGCTATTTTCTGAAGCAATCGTCGGCTGTGTACTGAAAAACGTCTTGTATATACCGTGTAATTCTTGTTCTCTCTCTCACATGCGCACGCGCACACACACATGCATGCATCCCTTTCTCAGGCAACCAGAGAAGGAAGACCATTCTACAACTGGATTTCCAGACTGACTCAAAGAAAAGCAATCCATGACATTCTAGAAATTGTAGTCTAAAAGATATCACCAGACCAAATCATCATATCCTTGTAGGGGGGAGATCAAAGCTATTGCTTGGAATGACTAATCCTCCTACCTCGCAAGACAGCACTTTTAAGCCCCCATCAACCAGAAGTTTTCATCACCAATGAACAAGGCTAGACGCCCTGACGCTGTTGTTTTGGATCACTTTTTGTAGTTGTTAAATTTTCAATTTTTGCACACGCCCCCCCCCCCAAAAAAAAAAAAAAATTAAAGAAAAAAGAAAAAAAGAAAGACGTTGACTCATACTGGCTTATTAATTTTACTTTAAAATCTAATATGTAGACCATTAAGGGAAACCAAACAAAGTTATTACTGCCTTAATAATGTGCACATTCTCGAGTATGCCAAACTTGTTGGGATTAACATTGAGGATCAATGCATCTCACATAGTAAACTAACAAAACAAGTGCTTTCAAGCATGGAACTAAGTTAACCTCATGTTTGCATGTAAACAACCTGATGAAACTAGCAATATACCTTCTTCACAAATCCTCGAATGATATATGAAACCTTAGCAATGAGCCGAGTTGTGATGCCACACACAAATTGTTAATTTCTTTGCAATATCATTTCTACTAGAACAATTGTTTTATGCGGGCTGGACCGCATTTCTACAATATGCGGTCCAGAGGAATAAAGCATCCATCTTAAAGATGGATGCAAATTGGTGGTCCATCTAAAAGCAAATGTAACTAAAGGTCCAAATGTTTTCTCAAAGCAAATGTAACTAAAGGTCCAAATGTTTTCTCAATATAATTCTTATTTCTAGTTTTCAAATTTTATTTATTTTCTCATATTCATGGTCTCCATGTTAAAGATTATATATTTTCTAAAAATTAGCATCAAATTACATTTAAAAAATATATTTATTGCCAAGCCCTCATTTCTACAATATGTGGGCTGGCCTCATGCTAACCGCGTCCTTTCTACTGTTTGGTGTTATGAATTTCATGAACTTACAAAATATTTGCATTTGGGTAAATGAGACAGAATAATTAGCATGACACAAAGATGATTAAAGCTGCTTTCAATTTATCACTATCACTTAAATTGATCTTCAATTTCAATTCTGGGGTCATAAATATACTGAGTGCCGGCTAATAAGATGTAGGTTGAGTTGCATAATGTGTCCTCTAACTTAGTTTAAAGTAAACAGCAGTGTTTTAAAAGATATTTTTCCTTCATTTGGTGCTAGAAATTATATGCTCTAATGATGGTTCTAACATGATGGACTAAACAATGTTTCTTTCTGAAAGCAAAAGTTATAGATGAAAAGATCGATAATGGGAATGGTCACAGCTGTAGAATTCATGAATAGACTTGATTGAAAATAGGTAATTGAAAAAGAGAGTCATTCCTAGTTTTGTCCATCTCCTGTACAATCATAAACTTGATTATGCTGTTAGTTTTTGCAGAGCAAAGTTTAGTATTGTAAATGGTATTTCAAAACAAAAAATGGGAATTTGTTTATGTTGAGAAAAGGTTTTCAATTGTTTGGATACATTCCCAGTTTCAAAAACTCCTGTAACTTTAAGCCCTGTCTAGATTTTCAAAGCCCACCGTCTCAAGTTCCATTTTTTTGGTAAAAAAAAAAACTTTAAGCCCTGTTTCAATTCATGTATTTTTTTATGGTTTAGAAGTCGAAGCTCTATTTGAATTCTGTAGTTTTTTCCTCAGTTATCAAGTTTTGACCTCAGCAATGTAGCTATAACCCTTGGTCATTCCTCTTTCCCCATAATTATTCATTTTAACCGTAGTTATTCATTTTTTGACCTAACTTTGCATTTCTACCTCCACTGATTATGCAGTCCTAACCAATGTTATCAAATTCGCTTAACAGAGCTCTTTGTTTTGGATAGAAAAGAGAAGTACTTCTGTCCTTCAAAAGATTAAAGGACGGGGTGTATTTTTTTATTTTTATTTTAAGGTATAACTTAGCACTTCTGCAAATTTATAAAGGTATATTTTTATAAAATTTTTAATAAATACCCTACAATATTTATAGTCATTCTTGGGTCAATGAAATTCATAGTAACCGTTTTCAAAAAACAATGTCCATTACGCACAACATAGAGATGTTTGAGGTTCTTGAGGAACGCAAAAGCCAAGAAAATTTTCCCCTTCATATTCCTCAAATTGCACACTGATTCATATGTGCAAATCTAGGTATAAAATAATCACCCAGCACCATTTACAATGTGTACGATGAAAGCTTGAACAACATGTTTAGTTTCATTATCGAGAATGACTGAATGAAATCCCATTTTACACCAACAAATCACACTAAACATATGCACTATAATTTAAATTCGTACCATAGTTAAAGCTAATATAATGATAAAAATACATTTTTACTGCAAATACCGTAACTTTCCATAAAAAAACAAATATCACCTTGACTGACAAACCACAAAAACTAATTTTGAATTTTTTATGATATTTATTTCTTTTATTTTTTTTTGGACATTTATTTCCTGGAGAGTGATAAACTAATCCTGCGATGCATCTTGGAGGAATCCAATCAGAGAATAGAAAAAGCTACCAAGTACCAACTTGCAATAATAAAGTATTATTTTTTCTTTTTTAAAGAATATGGCATTGAAATCCATTCAATTTAAAGGCAGAAACCTCGTGGCAAATAAGAAGGTCCTGCCACCCCAATGTCCACCGGACCCTCTTTTTTTTTTTGTAAAAAAACGAAGGGAAATTTACAGAAAATTTTTGTTTTATTTTTTAGAATTTAAAACTAGTCTATTGTATTTCATATTTTATGCTCCAACGATATATAGTGCATTTTAATTTTATGATTTTCTTATATCTCAGGTTAAGTT